AAAAAAAAAAAAAAAAAAAAAAAGAAAGGTATTAAATATATAGGCAGGAGCACTTAAGTATATGGAAAATTGGTTTATTTGAATTCTCTCAGCACTTTCATTTGACTAATAGAAATAAATTTTTCTTCTTTGGCTAATGTAATTCATACTTAGCAGCTATCATGGAGTAAAAGATCTTCTTTCAGATTCTTTTTTTTTTCTTCTTTTTATTTTTTGAGACAAAGTTTCACTCTTGTTGCCCAGGATGGAGTGCAATGGCGTGTTCTTGGCTCACTGCAACCTCTGCCCACCCCGGGTTCAAGTGATTCTCCTGCCTGAGTCTCCCGAGTAGCTGGAATTACAGGCATACACCACCATGCCTGACTAATTTTGTATTTTTAGTAAAGATGGGGTTTCTCCATGTTAGTTAGGCTGGTCTTGAACTCCCGACCTCAGCCCACCCACCTCAGCCCACCTCCGCCCACCTCAGCCTCCCAAAGTGCTGAGATTATAGGCACGTGCCCAGCCCCTTCAGATTCTTCCTGTAAGCAAATTGTGCCTTGGACATAAGCTTTGAATGCTTTGAGAGAGGCTCACTTGATAAGTGGAAATTAAATCATGATTTAATTGTATCAAATGCCTAATGGATAATCTATGGGATTTAATTAATCTAATAGGTAAGGTTAAGTTGGTAAGAAGTGAACTTTACTCTCCATTTTTAAAAATACATTTAACTCAGTAGTAAGTAACAGATGAGTAATTGGGAAAACATTTTAAACTTGATCATAAAGAAATAAAAATTGGCCATGTACAGTGGCTCACACCTGTAATCCCAGCACTTTGGGAGGCCAAGGCAGACAGATCACTTGAGCTTAGGAGTTCAAGACCAGCCTGGGCAACATGGCAAAACCGCACCTATACAAAAAAACACAAAAAATTAGCCAGGCATGGGGGCATGCATCTGTAGTTTCAGCTACTTGGGAGACTGAGGTGGAAGGATGACTTGAGCCCAGCAGACAGAGGTTGCAGTGAGCTGAGATTGTGCCTCTGCACTCCAGCGTGGGTGACAGAGTGAGACTCTGTCTCAAAACAAACAAAAAACCCAGTTTCCAGCTTTGACTAAATAATTTTGAATCCCCTTACTCTATTCCAAATGGTCAGCCAGCTAAAATTTTCACACAGCATTTATGTTGATATGCAAAACAGCAGGCCCATTCTGGAAAACCAGCTCAGGTAATTCATACTGACTCATCTGTTTTCATATGTCTATGCCAAAAGAGAACAGGACTCTCAGATTAAGAAAATAGAATCTAGGGATAACTGGGAATAATATGATTTCACAGGCTTTTTCAAAGGATTAGAAGTGCTATATATAAAGCACAAAGCACAGTGTTCTTTGTATACATAAGATACTTATTTTAATATATTATTTAATATAATATTTGTAGATAATATATAACATTATTTATATATTAAGATATATTAATTTTTTCTTATTTTGAGACGGAGTTTCCCTCCGTCACCCAGGCTGGAGTGCAGTGGTGCAGTCTCAGCTCACTGCAACCTCCGTCTCCCAAGTTCAAGCCATTCTCCTGCCTCAGCCTCCTGACTACAGGCACGTGCCGCCACACCTGGCTAATTTTTTGTATTTTCAGTAGAGATAGGGTTTCACCATGTTAACTAGGATGGTCTAGATCTCCTGACCTCATGATCCTTGTGATCCTCCTGCCTTGGCCTCCCAAAGTGCTGGGATTACAGGTGTGAGCCACCACACCTGGCCCCAATTTTTTTTTTTTTTTTGAGATGGAGTCTTGATCTGTCTCCCAGGCTGGAGTGCAATGGGCCCATCTCGACTCACTGCAACGTCTGCCTCCCAGGTTCAAGCAATTCTCCTGTCTCAGCCTCCCAAGTAGCTAGGATTACAGGTGCATGCCACCATGCCTAGCTAATTTTGGTATTTTTAGTAGAGACAGGATTTCACCAGATTGGCCAGGCTGGTCTTGAACTCCTGACCTCAAGTGATCTGTCTGCCCTGGCCTCCCAAAGTGTTGGGATTACACATATGAGCCAGGATATATTAAATTTATGATATATTTAAGGTCCTTCTTTTTCCCAAAGTCAAGAGATCCACATATGCTCAAGGTCAGGTTGTTAATGAAGATAGCCTGATGTAACTAAAATAATTATATTTGTGTAGTGCTTAATGCTCTTCAAAAAGCTGTGGGTTTTTTGTTTTTGAAATGGAGTTTCCCTCTTGTTGCCCAGGCTGGGGTACAGTGGTGTGATCTTGGCTCACTGCAACCTCCGCCTCCCAGGTTCAAGTGATTCTCTTACCTCATGCTCCCGAGTAGCTGGGATTACAGGCATCCACTAAGATTACAGGCGTCTGTCACCACACCTGGCTAATTTTTTGTATTTTTAGTAGAGACAGTTTTCACCATATTGGCCAGGCTGATCTCAAACTCCTGACTTCGGGTGGTCCACCCGCCTCAGCCTCCCAAAGTGCTGGGATTACAGGCGTGAGCCATAATGCCTGGCCCTACAAAAAGTTGTAACTTGCATTATTGCACTTAAACCTCAGCTGACCCACAACCACCCAAAGTACTCAGTGGGACAAGAAGTAAAAGGCCGGGCGCGGTGGCTCAAGCCTGTAATCCCAGCACTTTGGGAGGCCGAGGCGGGTGGATCACGAGGTCAAGAGATCGAGACCGTCCTGGTCAACATGGTGAAACCCCGTCTCTACTAAAAACTACAAAAAATTAGCTGGGCATGGTGGTGCGTGCCTGTAATCCCAGCTACTCAGGAGGCTGAGGCAGGAGAATTGCCTGAACCCAGGAGGCGGAGGTTGCGGTGA